CAATACGAGGGCAGATGTATATATATATATATATATATATATATATATATATATATATATATATATATATATATATATATATATATTCAAGTGTCACAATACGAGGGCAAGTGACACTATATATATATATATATATATATATATATATATATATATATATATATATATATATATATAGTGTCATGTATGCGTAATTTAATTATTTGTTTACTAGTTTTACTTTTTTTATTCCATTATATGTTATTGTAATGATGACTTTGTCTTCCGAATTTTAGATTTCTTTTTAAAAATTCAGTTTAGCTCTGTTTGACCTGATTTTTTAAAAAAAATTTCTGATAAACAACCAGTAGCAGAAACACTGTATCTAGTTGCTGACCTTGATTCAGACCTAGTAAGGTTTCTATTAAACAACGTGGGTTTTTTTCCACAGTAAGAACAATTCATTTCAGCTAAGCCCATACTGTGAGTGCATGAGGGCATGTAAAGAGCTTCTATGTTATTATAGAAGGATGACCACGTGATCCTCTCACGGAAACCTGTTTTGCGTGATAACTTAGTGTATAACTATTTTCTTAATAAGAATTAGCTAGTCCAGGCTTTAAACTTTTGACACTTAAAGGTATTTTGTTGTGACCAGCTTTTGTTGAAATGTATTTTTTTTTTGTTGGAATTATTGATTCTTTTCCCTAGAAATATATGTGTTCGTTACATAATTCTTGGAGAAAGACATTTTTTGAAATTTATTCGGAATTCAAGATTGAAATATCATTTTCTGTGATTCAAGAAGGAACTGTTGTTAAATAACACTTTGAAGTTTACAACAGACGTCATCGCCCTACGTTTTAAATTTCATCGGTATTCGAACTCAGATTGATTTAGAACTTTTTAATAATAGGAATTCTATTTTTTAACTCTAGGATGAATGTTGGATTTGATTCGAAAAACGGTACACTTCTTTTTATTATTTTTACCTTGGTTTTCCTTGTAAAATAAATTATTTGTTAATTTTTACAAGTCTTGTTGTCTTCACTCTTTTCTCGTTACTTTTTTAGAGTATAGACACGCATATATATATATATATATATATATATATATATATATATATATATATATATATATATATATATACACACACACACACACACACACACACAAGCATGCGAGTGTAGTTGCGGGTCGTTTAGTAGGTTTAACAGGGAACGTAACTTGAAAATCCTCTAGTCATGCATTAAATTCGTTCGACATGTGGAAGGATTTTGTTTTGTTGAAGAAACATACATCACAGTAACAGAAAATCTAGATGTACATTTGTATTTAATGTGAGAGCAAGTCAAAACTGAAAGAAGACCTTTCTAAATATTCTGGGACAAAAGAAAATGTTAGAAAGTGTGTGGTAGGATGTTTCGTTCGGTTGCAACATGAGCAAGTGCATCAAGCTGCATAGCAGAGACTTGCGTAGTTGTATGGTTTGAATGAAAACCTTTCACACACCACATTATATTGAACGCATTTTCAGTACCAAATAGTACCTCCATAAACATGCAAAATATCCAAATTCTTTGAAAAAGGAAACAACTAAGCAAGAAGATGAAGTAAATCCTCGTTGCAGTGAAGGTATTAATGTAACTTACTATTTTACTGTGGTAGTTTTCTGCACTAACTGTAATACCTTATTTAGTATTTACAGCAGGTTTCACAAAGTCTAATGATTCGGTTTTTCTACAAAACGTACTTCTAAATTGAGTCTGACAGCAACGTGTATTTTTTTTAAACAAAATATTTGAAATGACAATGCAGCACAGAGGAAATTTTTTGTATGGTATTATCAAATTTTGGGCTATGCAAGTACTTTTATTGAACACAAGCAAATGTGATATTGCTGTACGTGATAAAGTTAAATGCTCAGTTTGCTTGCAAGGCCACATTTTTATGTAGATCTTACACCATTTGTGTGTTGAACAGATGATAGTATGACAAAATGCTATACTGAAAATTGTTTTCTGCATTTTAATTACAACAAAACATACAACTTTGAAAGGTAACTACAATTCTTTTAAGCCTATACGCTTGGGTGTTTGTGTGAGGCTGTCATTCTTAGGTTTTTTTTTAAAAGAAAACAATTGTAGACAAAGGAGGCATTTTTAAGAATACAGACTTATATAAGCGTAACAATAATTATTGGACCTCCGTCAGGATAGTCATTGTAAGAAATGTGCTTGCATAATTTTGAAGTTACATACTTTTTCTATCGATGTCTGAAGATCAATACAATCTTGGGGCTATCCCGATTAAATGTGTCCTTGTGCGTAAATGTTTGCAAACCCCCAACGGTCTTTGGCAGTTAAACAAAAGTATAAATACAGGAAGATTTTTTGAAATTCGACAGGTTCTATGGCAAAGTCTCATTCTAAATGGCCTGAAAATTTAACGAAACCATTAACAAATTAATAACCACCGGATCCAATCAAAATTAAGTTGTTTAAATTTAAACACTGTTCTTACATGCTCGAGATAAGGAGAGCACACATCTTCAATGAACTGATAAATAAATAATTTTCCAATGAGAGACCGTAATTGCACAAATACATTTCATTCAAATACACCTGTAATAGATCAAGTGAAGTAATACACCTGTAATGTCTTGCCTCTGGTACATAGTCATACTTTCGATGTTAAATTTACAAAGTATTCTTTTTAGGTCAATTGCCCCAACCGTTTTCAGACAATGTATATGTGAGCTGGCATTACATAGTAAGGGAGGCAACTCATGAAATCAAATAGACGTCAATAGGACAAAGCACCAATATATAGGTTCGAGCGGCCAAGGTGTAGATAGGGTTATCATATTGGAACCTAGGTAGCGAAGATGGTATCCGGTTGTGATTTAGTATATAAATTGTGGTTTGTTTGTCTTAGTTTGATCCATACGACTTTGCCTTAGTATTTAACTTTTATTAGAATATGTTGCTGAAGAGTTTGTTGAAAAATGTTTTGAAAGAGATATTTTCATAATAGTATTTTATACACAATGTTTTAAAAACCCAGGAATACCTGAATACCTTATTATTATTATTATTATTATTATTATTATTATTATTATTATTATTATTATTATTATTATTATTATTATTATTATTATTATTATTATTATTATTGCATATATAACTTTTATGCAATTTTTATATTTCTGTTGCCACAGCCGAGAGAAGTTATGGTAAAGAATAATCCAGAAACTTCCTAAAATGCAATTTTGTTTAGGAACAATTTTTGGGAATTACTAGGCAGGTATGAGTATGTCCATGATCTGTCGTTCGGGGTTTAAGAGTCACGACTGGGTGTTGAAATCTATTCATATGTTTCAGTTTGGACAAATTTGCTTGTTTTTGATAATTTTGTCCACGCCAACAATATGGTCGGCGACGTTCCCTGATTTAGATCGGCTACGCTTTATTCTTGCTATTGAATATTTAATATTTCTGAGGTCTTTCTCACTTTTTGGATGCTGGTAATTGTTAATTGTTTCAGAACTTACCATTATCTCTACGTCCTTAACCCCTTTGTGCTCTAGTTCCTTTGCTAAACTTTCTCTAACAGAAGGCTTTATTCTAATGTAGGTGGCATTTCTTGAAGGATGTTTTATGAATGCATGATACGTTCTGGACGAGAATTTTCTAATGTATTCGGCAAGCGCGATGCTGATTGAAATTTCAGGAAGGAGATTCACACTTTTCTAGAACCATATTATCCACCGCTTGAACTGATCAGGTCGTGACGGAGAGTTCTTTGGAGTTTGGTACATTCTGGGAATGTCTAAGAGTTCGTTTTTGCTAATGATTGTGGTTGTAAGGGCCATTACATACGCTTTGTGTTGACGTTTTTCTCGACTCAGTACACACCCTGACGTTTAGTAATCATCTTTCTGTAAATGTTGTGGATGGTGATGCACACTTGGCCTAAGCGTTACACTTGTTCCAAAACTCGGATCTATTCCATGAAAAAAGTGTTATGATCTTGATACGTTGCGGATTGGATGCCCTCCAATGCTGCTAAGCATGGTCCAGTCCTTCCATGACGACACGAAAGGCACAGTGCATTATGATGGCTCATCGTCCGACCAATTCAACGTCCACATCAGAGTGAAACAAGGCCGTGTCCTTGCCCCCACGTTCTTCGGTATCTTCTTCGCTGTTCTGCTTAATTACGCCTTCAGGACTTCCACATAAGGGATCTACCTGCACACGCGATCAGACTGTAGACTGTTCAACCTGGCTTGACTGAAAGCAAAGTGCAAAGAAGAGAAGTAACTATTAGGGACATGCTCTTTGCAGATGATCTGTTGTTCTAGCCACTCACACAGAAGCTGAACTACAACGCCTGATGGACCGTTTTGCTAAAGCATGCAATGAATTCGGGTTGACCATCTGTCTAAAGAAAGCCAATGTGATGGCTCAGGACGCAGATCCGCCCAGCATTATCATCAGCAACAGCAAACTAGAAGTAGTCAATCAGTTTACATACCTCGGCTCTACCATCACCAACAACCTCTCACTCGACGCCGAGCTCAACAAGCGGATTGGAAAGGCATCATTAACTCTCTCTCTCTCTCTAGGTTGTCACAGTGTGAAACAACAACACAATGACAGTGAACACTAAGATCTCCGTGTACAGTGTATGTGTGCTAAGCACTCTCCTGTACGTTAGCGAAACCTGGACCTTGTACACCTCAAAGGAGAAAAGGCCGAGCGCCTTTCATATACAATGCCTCCAACGCATGCTTGGGATCACCTGGAGCGATCGAGTGTACAAACAACAATGTGACTGAACGTGCCAAGTTTCTCAGCACAGCCACACTCCTCCGCCAACGTCGCATCAGATGGTTGGGCCATGCACGTCGGATGGATGACAGACCGATTCCCCCCCACACACACAGACCTTCTTTATTCTAAGCTTGCCTCTGGCAGAAGATCGATCGGTCACATTTCCGCTTCAAGGATGTCTGTGACCGCTCTGGTGGCCTAGTGGTTAGAGCACGCGCTTTGGATGCGTAAGGTCGTTTGTTCGAAACCCAGCTAAGTCATACCAAAGACTTACAAAAATGGTAATAACAGCTGACCCGATTGGCGCATTAAGAGGGTAGTGTTAGGACTGGTTGGCCTGGTGTCAGGATAATGTGATTTGGTGGGACATCATGCCACATGTCTGCAGCATGATGCCCCAGTGCTAGACATAACTATAAACTGTCAACCTGCAGACATCGTAGCGATATGACTGAACAAATATTAAAGCTACTTTAAAAATCTAAATCACACACACACACACACACACACACACACACACACACACACACACACACACACACACACACAAGAATGTCTGAAAGCACGACATGAAAGCCCTTGAGATCGATATTAACACATGGGAGCCTATTAACCTGTTGGTTTGTACAAATCCCAACCCCCGATTTCAATAACGGAAACCTTTAATTTAATAAAACAAAGTGCAAAAAAACATGCCAATTTAGCCAATTCATTCATTGATTTATATTTTCTAACTATACTGTGAGTATAATGGCCATAACACCGCCATCTTTTGCGCGTTTCATGCCTAACGGAAGTTTTCATTATTATAGTAGGACGTGCTTGAGGCCCATTTCCAGTTCCTGGACAAGTCCATTTTCAGCAAAGGGTTGTATGCGCGACTAAAGATGTACATACATGTAATCTGCTTCCGATATTTATATTGTCGAATCAAGCAAAGGAAAAGAATGACAAAAAAAAAAAAATAAAAAACCACGCCTTTCACTGGGATTTACCAAGTGGTTTCATTAATATGTTCATGTGTGCAAAGGAATATAATTCCAAAGTCAACGTTATTGCAATTTATCGAATTATCCGGCAGTGACCGAATAGGATGAATTACGTGATTATGTTGTCGGATGGAAATAAACTTCTCCATAGTATACGGAATATGGCGCCGTGTTAGTATGGAAAGTCCGTTAAACATGAAAGATGCAAAGAGATGCCAGTATTAGTGCCATTCTGGTCACAGTCAGGTTAGAAATTACAAATCAATGATTCAATTGACTTAATTCTGTGCTCTTTTTATCACATTAAATGTTTGAGTTATTGAAATTGGTAGGGGGATACAAACAAACGGGGATGTAGCATCGGACTATAGACAAGACCAGCTGGCGACATGCTCTTATCACTGGTTTGAAAGCCGGCGATGACAAGCTACGACTGCTCGCTGATGAAAAACGATATCAGAGGAAGAGAAAGCAGTTCCAACTCACACCAGACTTAACCTTCAAGTTCAGCAACTGCAGCAAGAATTGCCACTCCCGTGTGTGGTTCCATTGCCACAGAAGTCACTGCACCGGGACACCTCTCATGGGCGCATTGCCATCGTCTCTCGAGACTAACGGATGCTAACAATTTTATGTAATGTGGCTTACATTTCTCTGGATATTGTAACTACTAACTAAAATAAGTGCTCCCTTGTGCTAAATAAAATCAGCTAGAATTAATAGTCCAAAGTACTCTATCTTCAGCAGCTATTAAAATAGTGAACATGAATTTTGCTAAATTTAACAATACAATATTCTGAAAGTGCAATGAACGAATTATCAAATATATCAAATGTTAAAAAAGTTATTAGACTTTAACTTTTACATCTAAAAGTCTGGAAATGAAAATAACCAAGTGGAGCTAGCCCATTTTTTTTTTTTTTTTTTTTTTTTTTTTTTTTTTGTAAAGATGCACATCTGGATTACGACTAATCTGTATACTCTATAACCCATAATACACCCATCAATCATACACCAAAAACAAAGGGAATTAAAGATTCTTTGAACAACACCTAAGATATTCAAGGTCTTTTTTTTTTTAAATAGCTAGTATTACTGGTGAGTAAACGCAGGGAAATTCTTTTCCTTAATACTTCTAATACTAGATTGTAGAGCGCCACCTATATAAATTGAAAACAAACCTTCTGTGGACTGGTTTACTTAATTCATAATTAATTTTAACAATGGTTTAAGTATTTATAATTAAAACCAGTCAGTGAAAAATACAGCGCGAAGTTCGTGATGTCTATATCAACAATGTTTAATTTTGGTTCAGAAAATATTTCCATGGATGGTCAGAAAAGCAGTGTTTTCCAGTTCACAAGTACACCAGAGGTTATTAGACTATAATATATTTAAACTATTTTACTACAGAAGTAATAACACCACCTTTGATGTCCTTCTGTAATTTCAAATGTGGAAGAATCTCACTTTAAGACACAGACGTAGACAACTTTCATTTAAATCCGGATTTGCATTACATAATTATAAACATTAAGCTCACTGGAGCTATTTTACCGACTGTAAACAATAGTATAAAAATAAATTCATTATTTAGTCATAGTATTTGTGATCTTTTCTTTGCTTCTAACCTGCCATAATGACGAATGGATTCGTTGGCTGATCAATACCAACATAAGCTATTCACCCCACCCCTTTATTTCTGATTTAAAATTCAATGCACATAAATTATTATGTGTGACTTGGAATTTTAACGTAGCTTCAAAAGTTTTTCCTTCATATCACTAGTGTCTTCAGTTTATAGTGATGTCTAGCAACGAGGTATATATCTATGTCTATAAATACGTTCATGCAGTCACACTTGACTATTAAGCAGATGTTGATGCATAGTCAAATAAAAAGTTAAAATGGTAGTCCTACCATGTAAGACCCTGCGCTGGGTAGCTTGTTTAGAAATGTAACAACAGTTAAATTTTCAGGAATATCACACAACTGGCAATCAATAACAACACTTTTCTACAAAATAAAGTTGTTTTTGTCAGACTTTACTTACCCTGATGTTTTTTCTCTAATAAATTCAAATTCTCACAAACAAAATAGACCTGTTTTCAAGTTTTGTTGACTAACATTCCAATTCACTGGAAAGCAGGGAATGCTGAAATCAGATTAGGTTGAAATATACTTTAACGAAACAAATAAAAAAATATATTATGCCTATTGGAACTATAAGCAACCTTTTGTTTCATTCAAGAAACATATCCTCCACATGAACCTACTTGATCATTCTTTGGCATACTTAACAACTACCATTGCATTTCAGCCAATTCAAATGTATGTCAACAGAACATGAAAATGTATCCATTTGCTAGTCATATTTTGATTCCACCAGGATAAAGACAGTAAAGTAAGTATATTAATTACACATAAATTAGTGGAAGACTGTTGATATAGGCTGCCGAGTGTGTGTGATACTTTAACTGCTCATTCCGATGTCAACAACTATGTAAGGCCATTTTTTTGGGAATAAGACAGCTCTTAAACAAAAACATGTGCTATATCTTAGATTGTAAGACTGGTAAAGATAGTAGCAATAAGACTATCAGAAGAGTAATGTTAGAAAAGGCAGAAATAAGTGCAAGAGTGTCAATGTAACTTTTCATTCCTTCATGGTTAGTCCTACAATGTAAGACCTTGGCCTTGATGTTTATGTTTAGGGTATCAAGGTCTAAATGATAGTGCTCTGTAGTACGTTTTGATATCAATTGACATAATGAGTTAAACTTTTAGGAATATCTAATGCATGGTAGTCAATATCAACAATTTACTACAAATTAAAGTTTTAATGTTTTAGACATTACTCAGATTTTGTTTACTCAGATTTTGTTTCATAAGAAATTCAAATTTGCACCCATACAAATGGAACTGTTTTCAAGTTTTATTGGCATACATTTCAGTTGGCTGGAAAGTATTGGGTGGAGGAAAAACCGAAAACAGGTTAAATTTAAGTATTATTCTTGAATGAAATGAATCCAAATATATTATGCATGTTGGAACGATAATCAACATTTTGTTTCATTCAAGAAACATATTTCCCCATAGTAACCTACTTCATAGAGCATAAACGATTTTTGACCCGGAAATCAGATTCCACAGGATAGTATGAACTTCTGATTAATCGGAGTCGGACAAGGCAGAAACGAACGATTCAGATAATAAAAATAAAGTTGAATTTATATAGGACGTTTAACGGTTGCAACGGAGTTACTGATCGTAGTGCTTAAAATTACCTCCCTTAGTTCCAATGTGCATGCCCACAAAACATTTTCTGTTCCAGATAGTTCAGAATCTTAGATGTACTACAAATCATCATGGTTAAACCAATGAATAAATGATATCAGTCTAGCATATTTTCCATTTTGCTATAGTCCTGCCATATCCTTCCCGTTGTGACATCGGTGTAATGTGCAAAACATATCTAACACAGTTTAAAAAGTTAATTTTAAAAATTTTTAATTTAGCATTTCCAATTAATGGAATCATATCCAGAATTGGAAGAATTTCATGCCGAAAATCGGAAATTGGTAGAAAAATGCTAATCGGTTATGCCCTACTACTTGATCAAACTTTTCATACTTTGACTACTGTTGCATTTCAACAAATTCAAATGTATTGCAAGGAAATGAAAATGCCTCCATTTGCTAGTGTCAGAGTTTGATTCCACCAGGATAAAAAAAAGCACAGTAAGTATATTAATTAAATATCAATTAGTGGAAGAGTTTTTATATGGACTTCCTAATGTGTGAGATATTCCTGAAATTTTGACAATTTTTATGATGTCGACCAATATCAGAACACCCTATACGAGGCCATTATTTGGTGAGTAAGACAGCAATAAAATATAAATAACATCTAATACATCTTACATTGTAGGACTACCTTCATACTCGGATCAATCTAATTACTCTAGCAGAAATGAGATAATGAACCTCATCTGGCATAGACCTGAAAATCACTTAGTCTTGCATTTAGCTGGCTAGTTCAATTAGAATGATTTTGGAAAGCACCTGCTTGTGAGGTACCCAATCAGAGCTTCTGCAATTATTGATGGTAATTTGTTTCAAGTACTTATTGTATGTGGGAAGAAGCTGAACTTGAAATAAGTTGTTGCTGCTGTCTTTAATTGGATTTATCTTTCCTGTGGTTTGCCATTATTTGGCTGCATGCTAGGGTCAGGTATTTATCTGCTGGTATGTCGACTAGATTGTTTGCTA